TCTCCTTTTTTTTCCTCCTTTTTTTTGTCTCCTTTTTTTGTCCCCTTTTTTTGTCTCCTTTTTTTGTCTCCTTTTTTTGTCTCCTTTTTTTGTCTCCTTTTTTGTCTCCTTTTTTGTCTCCTTTTTGTTGTCTTTCTTTGTTTTTTTTATTGTTTTTTGTTTGTTTTATTCCTTTAATAAATACAATTAGATTACATCTATCTGTTTATCTGTTCCTGCTGTTGCTGTTGCTGTTGCTGTTGCTGCTGCTGCTGCTGCTGTTGCTGTTGCTGCTGCTGTTGCTGCAGCTGCCTGTTTGGGGTGTCACTACAGGTCATTAAATGATCCCTTCCTTCTTTATGAATATTTACAGCCATGGCTAGAGGCAGTTGCTGCATATAGGCGCAGCAGCAGCTTATCTTATCCGCAGCAGCAGCAGCAGCAGCTGCAGCAGCTGCAGCTGCTGCGGTTACAGCAGCAACATAGTAAAATGTTATTACAACAACAATTACAACGTAATAATATCAGCAGCAGCACCATCAGCAGCAGCAGCAGCACCACCACCACCAGCAGCAGCACAAGCAGCAGCAGCAGCAGCAGCAGCAGCAGCAGCAGCATGGCCCTTAAGGCCTCGCACTCCTTCCCCTCCTCTCTTGTTGATACTATTAGATCATTCATGGCTGCAAGAAAGAGGAGCACAGACACAGGAGGAAGAGCAGCAAGACTGCAGCAAGAATTACAATTCTTGCTTCCTTCTGTTCCTCCTGCTGCTTCTGCTGCTGCTGCAGCAGCAGCACAACCACCACCTTTATCATCACCATGTGATGGTGTTGTTCCTCTTGTACAAATCAATGTACGTATTCCTCCTCCTGCTGCTGCTGCAGTTGCTGCTGCTGCTGCTGTTGTTGTTGTTGTTGTTGTTCTTCTTCTTCTTGCTGCTGCTGTATCTGCTGCTATGTGCTGCTTCTGTTGCTGCTGCTGCTGCTGCTGCTGCTGCTGCTGCTGCAGGAGAAGGAGGAGGAGCTACAAGAAGCAGTAACATGTCTTGTCTTTGGTTCATCTAATACAGCAAAAGGATATACATTATTAGCAGCAGCAAGAAAGACAGGAAGAATTACGGTGTATAGGATCTATCCTCCTCAGCCAGCAGCAGCAGCAGCAGCAGCAGCAGCAGGTGGTGGTGCAGCAGGGGGAGGAACAACTCCTAGAGGTGATAAGGTTGATGGTTCAGCAGCAGCAGCAGGTACTGCTGCTGCTGCTGCTGATCCTGCAAACATGCAACAAGATAGCAGCAGCAGCAGCAGCAACTGCTGCAACAGTAACTGCAACACGGGTAACTGCTGCTGCAGCAGCAACAACAGCAGCAGCAGCAGCAGCAATAGAACAGAACAAGACGATCTATTAGTATCTAAGATGTCTCCTCTTGCTGCTGCTGCAGATACAGTCAAGATTCATTGCCAGATGGTAAGACAACAAGGAGACTAATTAATTAATTAATTAATTAATTAATTAATTAATTAAATTAAATTAATTAATTAATTAATTAATTAATTAATTAAATTAATTAATTAATTAATTAATTAATTAAATTAAATTAATTAATTAATTAATTAATAATTATATTTATATTTATTGTTGTCTTTATATATAAAATAATTAAATATATTTATTTTATTTATTCGTGTCTTTGCAAAGACACGCATTAATGTTTATGTGTCTTTGCTTCTATAATTAAATAAATAAATAATTATTTATTTATTTATTATTTAATTTATTTAATTTAATTAATTAATTAATTAATTAATTAATTAATTTATTTATTTATTTGTCTTGTATGTATGTTTTTGTTTTCTTCCCCTCAATTTCTTATAATTAAATTAATTAAATTAATTAAATTAATTAAATTAATTAAATAATTAATTTATTTGTTTGCTGCTGTGTGCTGCTGTCTGCTGCTGTCTGCTGCTGCTGCTGCTGCTGCTGCTGCTGCTGCTGCAGTTAGGACATTCAGGTGCAGTAACATCGATGTTTTTTACATTATTAGAGGAAAGTTTAGTCACAACTTCTGTTGATTATACAGTTCGTTTCTGGTACTTTTCTCCCTTTTATTTAATTAATTAATTAATTAATTAATTAATTAATTAATTATACTTATTTATTTATTT